ACAGTTGGTAATCGAAGAAACTCATCCAACTCGCTACTAGCAGTACGAGACATGGAACCAAGTGAGTAGTCACCAAAGTCATCCTCGTTCTGTATAGTTGTCAGTGTCAGTGCAAAATTAAATGTTGCATACGGACTGTGTCTGCTTCAATGTCATCAGTAATCTCGGCAGATTTCTCGTATTTATCAATAAACTCTTCGTGCTAGAATGATTCACGGGGGTACAAAAGACATGACAGAAATCAGTATAGCATTCACTTGTGATCCTCAAGCTCTCAGAGGAAGGAAAAACAGAGAATCAAACACGGTGTTCAATGGCTGTCGCGCGCCTGGTTCCCGATTTGGTATATTATACCCGCCCAAACACCGTCAACCCGCGGTGAATGGCCACGGTATGCTCAAGGGTACGACTATCCTACTCCGTACCCGTACCCTCCAAACCCGTCAGCATAGAACCGCGGTGTTACCCGTACCCGTGCGTTTCCCTACCCCCATGATGCCTTGTACCAGCACGATTCCCGTCATTCCCGCTCAGACCCTGGTGGTTTCCTACCTCCAGATATTTACGGATCCAGTGAGGTTCGCGCAGAGATTGGTTTTAACACTTGGGATAGCTTTCCTGCATCGGATTTACTTGGTCACTTTAGTCACGGTGAGCGAGAACATTTATACCCATCAGCTTGCCACTGATACAGCAGCTGCATAGCCCGCTTTTGTCCCGTTCAGAAGATCCTCTAGAACACTAAGAATCTTGCGCGGGAATATAGATAATCACACTGCCAGACTCTGATATGTTTTTCATGCATCAGATGATTGGAAAATTTGAATCTATGGGTATCTCATCAAACATGACCATGAAATGATTAAATAACATAACGACACACATGATGGGACGATAGTGACGGGCTGACGACGGTGGGAGAAGCTTGGTCACCATAACGTGCTGGGGACTCTCAGCGAGGCCTCTAAGACAGGCGGGGCCTACCCTCCCGATGATAACGGATGAGTCCGTGGGGGTGGCTGAGGAGGGTACTGTTGTACCTCTGACGGAGTTGAGGGAGAGGATGCCTATGACGGAGAAGCCTGTATAACATGCTGGGGGCTCTCGGCCTCTAGTCATGGACCGGCAGAGGCTACCCTGGGCCAACGAGAATGGATGAGTCCGTGGGGTGGCTTGCGAGGGTGTTGCTGTACCTCTTGAGGAGTTGCCCTAAGGAGAGGCACTGGGTCTCAGATATCAGAGATGGGTTTCGTCCTCCAACGAGTCCAACGAAACCGGGTCTAACAGACCAGTCTACTAGTACGTAGTACCAACTACCAAGGGTACGTGACAGGTCGGAATAAATCTCTATCAAGCAGTGGTCGGGGGTTTGACCAAACAAATACTATATTGGATGCTTAGCTGAGCGCTAGCGCTTGATCACGTTTTGCATATGAACGTCTGAACGGCGGCTCGTATATTTGCAATTTACTAGCGCTCTGGTCCAAACTATGACAAAATCAATATCGTCGTCTGGGTATCTCCTAGGCTCTCCTAGGTATAGTCGACAACTTACCCGGCTGCACGGCGGCTGCGACCATTACACTGGCAACTCGACTCACGCGTGACCATGCTTCATGACAGTATTTTCTACAGATGCAGAAGTACTTGACCGACAACCTGGACCACGTGCAGACGGTCCTCATCAGCAGACATCCAAATGGCGATTAAGCTTATCCTGTTAACGGACCTCATCAGCATACATGCGAATTGGGTCACGGTAGACTGAACATGCACTCGACGTTCTCCAGAACTTCCATTCCTCAGGGACGAAGTTCGACCTCTAATTCGCGAATCATGAAATGGTCGCGCAGGACTCGGCTGCAAAAACGACTTGACGCACGTAAGCGCCTTCCAACAACGGCGGGTGGGAGTTCGACGACTCCCATATCTAAGCGCATAAGAACATGAAACACGAAACTCTATGTAAGTCAGGTCTAGTTATCAACGTTCAACTGGCTACCAAGGACTAGATTATGATTCGAACGTACAAGCTACGGAAAGGAATGAACCTAAAAAACAGGGTTCTGTTGAAAGAACGGCCTGCAGTTGGATATTGAATGGTCATAGTGGGGTGCCAGGATGCTTTACAGGAAGCCTTGAAGCTGGGCGTTAATGAATAATTTCAAGACGCAGCCTATCGAGGACAATCCAGTGCATCGGTAGTCTCTAGAAAAGCATTATGATATTGGAGATTAATGGGACTTCTGGTTCTGGACGGTGAGTCTCAGGGTGCTACTGTATAGGTCATGACAAGCGCTGAGGTGGTGTTATGAATGAATAGGAGTTGCAGATGGCCCCTTAGAACATGTCCCATTTTCCGCTTTGCCTGTCATGGACTTCTTCGTGAAGATCGAATGAATGTTGATCGGTATCTTGCCTACAGAACACCCCATGATACCCACTGGCATCCAGCTTCTGTCTCCTTGTGATGATCCATTTGCGCATCGGCTAAGTTCCATCCCTTATCATGATGTGCTGCCTGATGACTGTGGACCAATAGAGACGGTGCTTAGGACGCAAGTTAGACTCCAGATAAGTTGTGTTCCAGATTTTGTAGATTCTCGTGGATGCTACCCCAGGAAGGGCTGATGGTCCGAGCCTATCGATTCAACACGCTCACGAGCTGCCCATGTTTAGTGAATGCGTGATCATTGTTTGTACTCCTATCCAGTTTCTGTTGCGTGCTGGTGACCTCTAGAAAATTTCCTGGCATAGCTGGACGAGTATCTTTGGAACTCAATGCTATGTACATGTATGGCGTCGGTACTACATTTGGATGTAGGCCCATTGCCTCGCATATATAAGCACCCCCAAGTTGCTCCTGCTACCCCATCTTGAAATCGCATCCTCTCTTGTGAGTCCAAAATCTTCCTTCCAATATCAGGCCTAACAGTACCCCCCAGTACAATGGCTACTCCTACTATATTTTGCGGCTATGGCGGGTGGCTTCCAAGGCATCCTGAAATCTACAAGAACTTCATTAATCGTCTCTACAACCACTGCTCTGCAGCGTAGCCACGATTCTCTCGAACATGAACCTGCTGTTGCGGCTTTCGGGGAAGCGATCCAAGGGGATCCCGTCATGAAGTCTCTGTTCGACCAAATATTCCGACAAGTCCATGAGCAGAGCAAGGTATGAGATAGTAGCCAGTAAGCCTTCGACAAAGACTCATTCTCTTCCAAAGGTGAAAAATTTCGAACACTTGTTGCACCAGCTCGACTATGTCATCGTGACAGCGCCCAAGTATGAGACAGTAAAAGACCCGAATGGCGATGTGATTGCCAACGAGCCTATCGGGGTGCCTATGTATCTCATTTTCGATTTGCTCAGCAACACAGCTGCGGCCTATGACCTGTTCCGCATGAAGGAATTTAACCGTGCGCTCAAAGCCTTGTTGGAGAACTGGGGCAAATTCCTCACGCAACCTGGGTCGAATTCAACGCTTAATACAACTGACGAAGGATGGTTTAGTGAGGCCGGAGTCAGACATCTCGAGGAGAATCTGGGGAAATATAGCTTCGTACAGACCTACAAGTGTCCTGACCCGGGAGCTGATGATCGTGGGTTTACAACCTGGGATGCCTTCTTCACTAGAGCGCTCAATGATGGTGTGCGCCCCATCGAACCCGTTCCCATTACATTACCACCAGGTGGACCCCGTACTGCTGCATATCCGACTCCCATCTATAATGCCTGCGAGTCCACCGTCCTACGCATTGAGAGGAACGTGAAAAAACATGATCAGTTCTGGCTCAAAGGCCAGTCATACTCCCTTTACGACATGTTCAACCGCAACGACGAGTACGCCAAGTTATTCGAGGGCGGAACTGTCTATCAAGCATTCCTCAGTCCCGCCGACTTTCACCGCTGGCACAGCCCCATTAAGGGCACAATCGCGGATATTGTTGTGGTTGAAGGAACATACTATGCCGTGCTTCCAGATGCCGGGGCAGAGCAGGGCGACCCTGATCTCGAAGGGGGTGACCCTCGTGGTGCATTAATTCGCTCCCAGCCCTTCCTCACCATCGAGGCCACTCGCGTGCTGATTTATATCAAGCCGGAAGACAGCAACGTCGGCCCAATGATGTGCTTCATAGCCGTGGGGATGGCGGAGGTGTCGACTTGTCAGGTGAGAGTGAAGAAAGGCCAAGCGGTGGAGCCGGGGATGGAACTTGGAATGTTCCACTTTGGCGGGTCCTCGCACGCCCTCGTATTTTCCAAGGGGACCAGATTTGAAGAGTTAAAGGGTGTCGAAGTAGGCAAACACATCTGGGTCAATTCGACTATCGGTCTAGTTACTAAGGTATAGGGTAGTTATTCGAACATCCTTTATCGAAGAGTACCTTGATACTATAGGTGTTAGGAAAAGATTTATGCATACTCTTTTACGATCACGTTACGGTATTAGCGAGTTGAATGATCTTGTACTATTAGCAGCTTCAAAGTTGACTACACCGATGCTCATGTTTAGTTTGTTGGTCACAAATCATCACGCCGCTTTACGATGAAGTCTGAAGCCTGAGGCCTGAAGGCCGAGAACGCCTTCACGTTGCTGCAGTATTACCAGTGCAGTCTGCGTCAAGCAGGCTGAACCAGTTGCTGCGGCCGCATACGAAGAAACTTTGATTATTGGGGCAAACTAGCGGCGCCAGCTTCTGGCTCCGTGAAATTAAGTGAATCATACATATACTACAAATGAGAACTTCTACTGCTTAATACTTCAATGTTCGATATCGAATCAACGTTCGGACTCTCGGAGGCCGCCCAGTGCAGTTTCCTCTTATAATGAGAGCTTGGAAGCAGGCTATGAATATTTCTGCCCATCCCACTTGCGATTTCCCTGACTGGAAAATAAGACCGCCACCATAGCACAGAAGGAACGACTACTAATTACCTTGCGGAGCAAGGCCATGTTGGATGGATATGAATATGAATATTTTATTTGGCCATCTACGCTCACATATGTAAGCTCAGCTACCGAAGTACCTCGATAGCTCAACTACAAACTAAGCACACAAGGAATCAAAGCCAACCTCGCAAACTATCGGGCAAAAGATACAAATAACTATGGAGTGAGGAACGTGGAGGAGGGATTGGCGTTGAGTGCACGGACACGTTGTTTGTATTCTCCCAAAATATGACCTGCGAGCCAAATGCCACGCACATGCCACGCCTGTGCCAATCGTGACAATAATCTCCATCGTCGTACTAGCAGGCCGTGGGGATGAGGCACCCACATTGCCTAATGATGCAGTGTCGCCCGGGATGTTTGACGGTGGGGGTAATACATCCACCTAAAAACGCGTTCGATATTGTGGACCACAGCCCCGCAGTCGTCAGAAAACAAGCGCAGTGCGGTTCCATCGAAAACCCCCCTGATATGATCTGCAGTTTTGCCCGCAAGGAGCGAGGTCTCGTCGAAGAGTTGCACGCTATGTGCACGACAGATAGTCAAGAAGGCCGGGCATAGAGCAAAGACGCGGTACGTGCTCTCAGACGCATCATAATCAAAATGACACAAGGCGGGGTATCGCGAAAACGACGATGCCGCACCTATGCGGTGTTAAGTTGTGATGATCGGGCATATAAATGTACGGCGATAGAGAATGAACTAGACACCCATGTGTATAGGGAAGTCAGGTAGGAGATAACGGTCGTACAGTGCGAGAGTCCAGGCTTGGGCCAGGTGGAAAGAGTCGTTCGACGTAAGCATCCTCAAGCCTGAGAAACAACGAAATAAGACAAATTACACCAGCCAGGCGCAAAGACGGTATAGTCATCCACAGCAAATGTTGCGAGCGGTGCAGAGGGGAGAACCCCGCTATGTTGCGCCGAAGAGGCCATGTTATCCACATGATCGTTAGCTAGTCATTCAGGTGTGAGACCGCCTGTATGAGCAGCAGTACAGAATAGCGAGGGAGAAGGAGACGGGGAATGAAGGAGGGAAAATAACCACCAGTACAACGAATGCGCTGGTTGTGCATTCCAGATGTGGGGCAGGGCACCCGCCGGGAGTACTTCCAGGACCAAGTGCACTGCATTCTTGTTATCTGTAAAAACGGGGTAGGGCTGATTTGGATTAGCACGAATAGATAACAGAACAACAGCTATGATGCCCGAAAGCTCGCCATGCAGTATACCTACATGTGTCCCATGGTTCGCAAGTGAAAAGGCAACCCAGCTGTCTGGCGTTGCAGCTGCGGATGTGATCGATCGAGCCTCGCTGGTGACGGGAACATATGTGATGCATCTGAGTCCTGACGCAGCAATTTCAAGTCGGGTCGGAATGGCTGTCAGTCACCTGATATGAGCATCATGATGCTGTGTAATTATATATGAGATAGAGAACTTCTTCATATGTCCGTGTAGTATTGTTGGTCTGTCTGCACAGGCTGGGGGCAGAACTAGAGGCGGTGTTTAAATTTCCCAGGCTCATCCAGGGATAGGCAACGGCCAGCTAGAGCCGGCCGGCCTCTGGGCCATACTATCATGATGCCACTGAGTAAACATGCGATTGCCAAACGACAACGTCTGCGCGCGATCACAGTGATCGCAATACGAGGAGTGACCGTTGGTGCTTTGGTGAAGATTACAGGATTGAAAATATCACTTGAAGAGTGACGAAGCATTACATGCGGTCGCTGCGAGGCAGTACCTGGTAACTTGCCGCCGAAGAAACCTTATAAATGCCCTGCCCTACAGGCTCTTGGGCGCTAAACGACTCTTCCGCTCCTTCTTCTTTTCTTTGTCCAAGCTGCAGCAATGCCAGACGTTGCAGCCTCTCGCAAGTTCATCGATCTCATTCGTCAGGCCTCGTCTAAGTGGGCTAATTGGGACCCGCCAATTGAGATCAAGGTCAGTATAAGTGCTCTAGTAATTGCTAGCGCAGATTTGGCCTCACAGTCGAGGCTCGTAGGTAGGGGGACTATGGGAAGATCGACAATGAAACTGGAGAGCTCGACGTGGAAGGGAATATCTACGAGAAAATCATTCCAGACGTCACTGGACAAGCAAGGCTTGAAGATCAATCTATCTGATTCATCATGTCAGCCACAGAAGGGTGGACTCGACGACAACATGATTATGTCCTCTTCGGGTGTCAAACAAGGGGATTTCTCGGCGAAGCCAGAAGTGTGAGAGCGTACGCACTTCTTCCTTTATGTGCTATCATTCATCATGCACCAATCGATCAGCTCCCTTCTCAACCTGGCCTCTGCTTCCGTCAAGGCCGAATTTCAGTTTCAAGAAGGCAAGCGAGGTGCTGTCCTCGTAATGCACAAGCCTCAGCAGGAATATATTCCAAGGGGCAAGGTGCTGACACTTGTCCACAAGGCAATAGAGCTGCATGACAAGTATCTCGTCACCAGCACATTCAAGTGCCCAGGATATTATATCTATTTGTCTAACAAGTGTGCGTCTACTTGTCTTGTGCTTCATCGGCGGCAGTATACTGACGGTCTGACACAGCCGGAGAGAGGATAGCACTGGCGCTAACTGCTAGTGTACCGATTGCAGCTGCGGCAGGCGTAACTGCCGGCGGATCAGCCTCCGTGGATTGGTGGACTGATGCTCAAGCAGCATTCCTCCGAAAAGCAGTTGACAAGGCTGGGCAGTACCGCTACACGCCACTGTACACCCTGAAGCACAGACAAAATTCTTTGCTAGCCCGACTTTTCCGCGGGGAAGAGTCAGAGGAAACAGAAGACGATTTGTAAGTTACTGATTTCCACTTATGAGACCGATCTTGACATTCACCCAGGTGGTCTGACTGTGCGACACCATGGCAGCCTCTTGATGAAGATGGAATGGAAGATCCAACGTGGGAAGAAGTACGTTAGGTTTTGCTCACTCCTTCTAATGATTTGGTTCACGCTTTATCTTTCAGGACGATGAAGAATTTGGTCCCCGGTCTGCAGTGGAGGGCGATCTTCCATTTGCAGGAGCATGATACGTGACATTTGTCTATGTTTTGGTTTGCGTTTGTCCGTTGCATGACCGATTTGTGTTTGTGTTTGTCCATTGACGTTGAATAATCGATTTATTTCTGGATTGCGCTGGCTGTATACGTGTCTGTATGATATCCCTGTCACATCTATATGCATGCAATACATTCTACTATTCTCACCAACCAGAAGTGCTTGACAACGATCATAGACTCCCACAAAGCGGGCTACGGTCTGCTACGGTGGGGATTCGTTGGCAGCTTGAACTTGCGTGCGATTTATTACGGAAATTGTTGTCGTACAGCCCTTCGCGCGACCGGAAGAAAATCCGTCGGGATGACGCCATGGTATTCGAAATTGAAGATCAGGATATGTTATATCCATCGATAATGAATTTCATCAATACGAACTTTGTCGGTATTGGATGTCGGGGCCTGACGCCTTACGCGCCGATCAGGGATAGTGGTAAGCATGCTGTATTCCGTATGTAACCCACAGCACAAGGTAAGTAGGTATTACAGTACTTATCAACTGAAGCCGAACGCCAGCATGAGGATTATAATATGAAAGAGAGCGCATAGGTAAAAGGGCCATATCGACCAGAGTCACGCTAACGCTAAAACTAACCACGGACACGCTTGCAGTCGTACATATAGACAAGCCAAGGGCCGATATGGAATACTAGTTATAATCAATCCCCGAAAACAAGTGAACGAAGAGGGAAAAGAAAATGAAGCAGAGCAGAAACAGAAAACTGAGAAAAAGAAAGGGAGCTATGGAGACAAAATACTCAGCCGAGTATGATAACACAATGAAAGAAGACTGGAGTGACAGGAGAAAGACGGGGCACGTAAAGAATACAACCTAGCAACCGAAAGAGTCTCATGCAGGGCTATTGGAACCGGTCTCAGGCGCCACGCGGCCTTCCGAGGGTTTATCGGGTAGCTCAGTTATACTGGCGGAAAGCGGGGGCGCACTGGAGGAGCCAGATGTTGAGGAAGAGTAGCCGGCGTACGTTGGTGCCGGCCAAGTGTTGTTTGGAGGGTAGCTACCATACGAAGGTTGTGAGGCCGGCGGTGGATAGTACTGATAGTAGTTGTTTTGGGGCACCGAAGCAGGTGGGTGGTGAGGAATCAAAGCCTGCTGCGTGTCAGCGTTGGCTGGTGCACCGCCGTACCCAGGGTATGGGTACGGTTGAGATGGAGCTGGGGATGGTTGGTGAGGAGTTGTCGGGGACGGTGTAGGGTACGACGAACTCGAGTACACTGGAGGATGGGTAGTGGAATGGGAAGTGGAATGAGAACTGGAGTGGGAAGTGGAATACCCTGGAACGCCGTAGTAAGAAGGGGTTGGGTACGCAGAATAGTGAGGCTGGGGAGGGAGACTCGAGACTGCTTGGTCAGGGTATGTAGGGGGTGGCGGAGCTTGTGATGCAGTAGGAGTCGATGGGGATGGCAAAGGGGGTGCGTGCTGGTCCGTCGGAGATGTGGACTCTGGCTGAGAACTCTTAGTTTTACGTGAGCGTTTGCCACTGCCGGTGGTGTAAGGGTTGTAGCGCCCCCCTCGTTTCCCATCAGTAATGCGACCGTCGGTAAGAAGAGGAAGCCCAGACGAGAGGGGAGCAGTGATCATGGAAGGGGTAGATTCGATGTCATCTGCCTCTCCACGGTAACGAGGGACACCATCTACACCAATCTCCACTTTAGGAGGGTTACGGAAGTGAGTTTTATCGAGGTATTCTGGACTGATATCCAAAGATGCCAGCTCGGGGAGTGATGAAGGGGAACGCAAACGCCCTTGCTCTACATCCTCGACCTTGTAGTAAGATATGAGATGCTGTGATACACCACCGATTGTCAACGAAAAGGTCTGATAGGAATGAAACCGTGAGAAAAGGAGTATAGGAGGAGGAGGGGAAGAACAGACCTTCTTCATGAGGCCGTCAGATTTGAATTTGTAGCTATTAGTGAGACTGCCGACGAGGACACGTTCCCTGTGTTTGTCGATGCCCAGGGAGCTGGACTCGCCTTTAGGACGACTCAAAGTTTGACCCTCGAGGCGAACGCCATCCACGTTGTACTGAGAATGTTCGTTCATTTCGGCAGGGTCTGAGCGAACGCCTCGATGACCTGCACCACGCTTGTCGGTTTCACGATAAAGAAGAAAGTTGCCTAAGATGCGACTTGGACTCCAGAAGAAACCGTCGGTCCAGCGCTTAATACCGCTTTCGTCCTCGTCGAAGACAAAGACTGAGCCAGAGGTTATCATCTTGCGCTCTGAATCGACTAGGCGCCTAGTTACTCTTGGTATTAAACCACGACGAGCGGCTTCTAGTATAAGTAAGGCATCGCCAGTTGTCTCTATCCAACCTGACCAAGGAGGCTCTGTCCAAGCTGAACTTGAAGAAGATTGATTTGTAGGAGTAGGATTGGGATTTGGAGAGATCTGCTGATTTGCAGACATTTGTTAATATTTGTGAAGTCTGTGGAAGGCATAGTGGGAGACAAAGTAAGAAGTTGATTCGAAGTTGATTGAACCAAAATCTTTAAAGTTCATACCTTGCTCGGAGATGTTCTTAGGTTTGCGGCGGGGTTGGTTGAGAGTGATCAGAAAGCCTATTTGGCCATTTCCCGCCACAACACCAAAAACGTATGTCTTTCCTATTAATCCTTTACAGTTACATGATTTCAATGGTCAAGTTTAAAACTTGGAGGAATAATCCTTTCAAACGATTCTCTAGCCTGGCTCAATTGTAGGTCAACCAATTTATAATTCTAGGTGAGTCACCCCCCAAAAATCAAAGTTTTTGCTCAGCTGACTCCAACTTACCGCTTACTTAAGCACTCCGCGAGCAATCAAGCTCAAGCTTCAAGCCGATCATCGACTAACATTCTTCATCATGACCAACATCATAGGTGTCCATCACCTTCAAGTTACCCCTGTCTACTGCAGAGGAAAGTGTTACGGACAGCTCAATGTCACTAGTGGCATCGTTCTGATTCGAAGTTCTCTTCCCTACAACTATTCCGACATCACCGCGGTCAATCCTTACGAATTTCATCTCCATCTGATGTGATCCTAAGGTACTTCATGTCCGTGTGTGTTTTCTACTCAGATCAAGTGATTTCTAGGCCCACTCTACACGCAACCTACATCTGATCACAGTCTTGTCAAACGTGAGTCTTTGACTATTCCTGGCTACGTTCATGCACGATCCATAAAAAGGCCTTTCGTTCCTGTATATCATGCCCGAGCGCCTAACCCCGTGATCGTGTGCCTGTCTATGTGCTGTTGGCAACTCACGTACATACATGCAATCACATGGAGATAGCGGGTGAGTTGGGTAGTACTCTGATCTTATTTGTATTAACAATCCACTTGACAGCAAGTCCAGGCCCATCTTTCCTAAATTTCAGCCGTCAGTATGACAGGAACGCTTTGTATTCGCTTAAAGGTATCTACTGCACGTCTACACCGTGCATTCGCAAATTCGAGCTGCGTGGTAAACACTTTGGATGAATTCGAGGAGCCTCGTATTTGTTTAACCATCCATTACTCCGTCAGAGCGATCATTTACTTCTTTCTTCTCTCGACTCATGGATAACCTTCCTTTTTTTCAGGGATACGTAATCTCCGATATTAACAAGCCTAGCCAGTTCAGCTTGAATGATGCGACCTGAATGCTTGGCTGCTGGCCACACGGTTCGACTGAACCAAGTACCTTGATGTCCCTTTCCTCCCTGACAGTTCCTCCCAACTGTCTCCAGAATCCAGGTTACCAGAAAATCTGATAGAAAGGGAAAGTTCCAAAGCGCTTCTGGGATGTATAAATGCAGCGTTTGTGAGGAAGTTTCGATCACGGCGAGATGGCTGGTCTCACCACCTCGTTGATTTGGATCATATCCTCGCTCACAGCAGTACGAGCTTATGTTATCTGCAGTACAGAGTCACTCATCTCTCTTCTCCACAGGCCGGCTATGCATATCGTTTCCCCTCACACCATCTTCACCATCTTCACCGACGCGACACAACCTGGACTGCCCTTGGATGCTGGACGTGAGTACCTTCTTTCACGATTGTGAAAACGTTATGACCGGCGTCGTCCAGCGATGGTGTTGATGGTACAAGAACGCTTTCTGCAGCTACCTACACAGACACTGTGAATATGACCATAGAGTCATGCGTCAACTTCTGTTCGACTGGCTCCAACGCCTATGTCTACGCAGGCGTCGAATATGCTCAGGAGTGTTGTACGTGTTATCTCACACTAATTTATATGGCTCTTCATTGCATCTTTCACATAGACTGCGGCAACTACTTCTTCAGTGGTGCTACCAATGTCAGTTCATCGGACTGTGACATGGCCTGTACTGGTAACGCTGGCGAAGTTTGTGGTGCTGGCAACAGACTGGATATATTCTGGAGCGGGGTCCAGCCTCCCGCTCCGCCCATCCTGGTCCCTAGCGTTGGCAACTGGTCGTTGCTCGGATGTTACAAGTGCGTCCCCTTATGCCAAGCACGAATTCTGAACTAACCCGGATTTATACCAGCGACTCAGCGACACGAGCATTGCCATACGGGACCGGCGTGACCGGAAGCGTTACTGTTGAATCTTGTACCACCGCGTGTTACAATGCTGGATACCCTTATGCCGGCATGGAATACGCTGATGAATGCTGTGCGCATGCATCTTCGGTCAAACGTTCCTTTTGCTGACAGGTCTTTGCAGATTGCGGCATGACCATCGAGAACAATTCTGGTCCCACCCCAGACGCAGGCTGCGATATGACATGCGCGGGAAATTCGTCCGAGTATTGTGGAGGATCGTACCAACTCAGTATGTATAACTACACCCAGGCTATTACAGTTGCCCCTGTTGTCAATCCCACCAATCCCAGCACTGTTTCGCCTGTGACATCTGGCTTAACTGGAAACTGGACGTATGGAGGATGCTACGTCGACAACGTGAATGGGCGCGTATTAGGGAACGAATTCGACAACAGTAACATGACAGTGGAGAGTTGTATTGCGAACTGTGCCGGGCAAAACTTCACCATTGCAGCCATAGAGTACAGCACACAATGCTGTAAGTAGTCTATCTTCTTCTTCACCTCTCCTGACTCTTGCTCTAGTCTGTGGTGATTATCTCATCAATGGGGCTACTGAGGGTGCAGACAGTGACTGCAACATGGCCTGTGGTGGAAATGCTACGTGCGTGTCTTCTTCAATTCGCACGTTCTATGTTCTTGACGTGAACTAGTGAGGCATGCGGTGGTCCAAACCTACTGTCTGTTTACTCCTCCAATGGAAATATAACATTACTCCCTGTTCCTGTGCTACAAACCACAAACTTGCCTGGACAATGGGTATATGAAGGCTGTTTGGCGTTAGCGATTCTTCACTGCCTATGCTTGCGATACTGATGTTACCATACAGGGAACCATCCACTGGGCCTCGGACATTCCAATATGAAAATGAATGGGACACGAACAATACTGTCGATGCGTGCTTGAACCAGTGTGCTGCCTTCGGGTATCCCGTAGCTGGCCTTGAATACGGAGTCCAGTGTTGTAAGCGCATTGATTCGCTACAGCTTCTTGTGGATTGCTGATAGAGACAAGTCTGTGGCGACGTCAGTGATATCACGGCGGTTGATGGGACGTATGTCTCGGATTCACAGTGTAACATGGCTTGCTCAGGAGACCCAATCCACCTGTGTGGAGCAGGAAACAGGTTGTCTACCTATTATTGGAACGGGACGATGAATACGTGGAACACCCCCGCGAATACTGGCTACTATGAGGTGCGTCCCATCTTGTCTTGAATATACAAAACACTTATAATCTATGCAGTTCTTAATAGGCGGTCTCGTCGTCCCTCTCATTGCCACTGTGGGCATCAACAACAAAGTCACTTTCCTCGAGAAGTGGGGTACCTCGGAATATGATAATTCTACTGGCGCGTACGAGTTGGATCTCAGTTTGGTGGACAATTACCAGCTGGCTTGGCGCGAGATGCATGTGCAGACGGACGTGTTTTGTTCTGGTAGTATTATTCTACCAGACTTGGGAGGAAGGTTTGACGTCTCACTTGGCATATCAGGCTCACGCTTACATTGGAACAATCAGGCAAATCAATGTAGGCGGATGGTCGCTTTCCTCGACTTTTGGTGTGAGATTATATACGCCGGATGGGAGCCCTGGTGTCAATGGTACCAATGACTGGGAAGAAAATGTTAACGAGCTTACACTTCAGGTAAGCTCTGAACTATTGTTCTTTGTCTCGTTGTACTTATCGTGCTCAGCGTGGCCGATGGTATCCTACCGCGATGATGATGCCAAATGGAAGTATTTTGGTCGTTGGCGGAGAGTCGGGAAGTAATGCTTCCCCGCAGCCCAGCCTCGAGATCCTTCCAGCGCCCCCTGGTGGCGACACGGTCGTTACATTGGACTATCTTCAACGGACAGACCCCTACAACCTCTACCCATTCCTAATGGTGCTGCCTAGTGGTCGGTTCTTCATTGGTACGTACATTATGGGCGAGATGCACTATTTCTTACGGAACGTAACAAGGGTATTACAATGAGGCTCGCATTCTTGACCCTGTCACCTTTGACACGGTGACCGTGCTACCAAATATGCCGGGGGCCGTGAACAACTTTCTCGCAGGCCGGACGTACCCGATGGAAGGGTCTGCGGTACTTTTGCCACAGTACGCTCCATACACCGATCCGATCGAGGTTCTCATCTGTGGTGGCTCGACGATTGGAGCTGCTATTGCACTGGACAACTGCATCTCGATTGCCCCTGAAGTATCGAATGCGACATGGACTGTGGAACGTATGGTGAGCCAATTTGATTTTGGGAAAGTTAAGGTTTGATGCTGAGATGTGCCAACTAGCCTTCTCAACGGGTGATGCCTTGCATCACGACTCTGCCAGGTAAATATGATGACGAATGACAGGAGTCTAGACATTAATAATACATCGATCACAGATGGCACGTATATGATTATGAATGGCGCTCAACAAGGTGTTGCTGGCTTTGGCCTTGCGACAGATCCTAATCTTGGCGCGATTCTATACGACCCTTCGCAGCCGATTGGCCAGCGTATCTCCATCCTTAACACTACCATTGTAGCGCGTTGTATCACTCCGAAGCGACCCTTCTGCCCGATGGGCGTGTCCTGGTGTCTGGTTCAGACCCACAGACGTACTATCCCAACGGGTCCTATGTGTACCCAGAGGAGATGCGCATTGAGGTTTATATTCCGCCATACCTCAATCAAGGACTCATGCAACCAGAGTTTAATATTACTGAGACTGACTGGGAGCTGGGCGGGCAGTATAGTATTACGGTGACTTTGTTCCAGGGAACGACGAGCACCATGCGTGTCTCACTTGTGGCGGGTAAGCAAGGCTGGTTATCATAGATGGATCGGTTTCTGATTATGATATATAGCTTCGTCTAGCACGCACGGAAATGTCATGAGCGGTGGGAGGATTATCTTCCCTGCGTTTTCATGCTCTGGGACGACCTGTACCATCACAGCACCCCCGAATGCATATGTATGTCCACCTGGATGGCATCAACTTTTCATTTTGGATGGTCCGACGCCATCGCACTCTGCTTGGGTCCGCATCGGAGGTGATCCTGCACAGTTGGGCAACTGGCCTGATTACCCTGACTTTACTACGCC